CCGGCGCAGCGGCGTGGGCCCCGCGGGCGGGCTGGGCAGCGGGGGCCTCCCCTTCTCCGTGGGGGGGGAGGCCGGACGGCGACCCCGCCAGCGGCCCCAGCAGCAGAAGCAGCGAGAGGCCGGTGCTCTCGCCCGCCGCGCGGCGCCTGCACCAAGCGGGCGAAGTCAGCAGCGGTGGCAACCGACGCCGCCGCCTCCACATCCTCCTGGCAGCGGCTCCCTCGCTTCGTTTCTTTCTCCCTCTCTCTCCCCTGGGTCTGAAGCAGCCAGCCGGAATTGGAAGCCGCCGCCGCCGCGAGCCTCCCAGGGCTACCTCTGGCCGCCGCCGCCGCCGCCGCCCCCGCGTCTCGCTCTGGCGCGGGGGGCGCAAAGCCACTCGCCTCCGAAAGTTCCAGCCAGCCGCGCTTCTCTCGTGGCGCCCCCCCGTGTCCTTCGCGCGGGTGAGATTCTGGAGCGGCGCAAGAACCGGAGGGCAAGGCCCGCTTTCAGTGGGGAGGGAGACAGGCAGGAGGCGATGAGACGGTCCCTTGTCCGTCGCCTCTGGTCGTGGTTTTTTTAGGCTTCTGTCTGACCCCCCCAAGTGTTGGACTACAAACCCCATTATCCATAGTTGACACCAACTGTGCTGCCTGGAAGTGATGGGAACAAAGACCTCCACCCCATTTTTTTCTGCAGATAACAAAACAGGCGTGGCACAAGCACAGGCAGAACTCACAGGGTTTAAGCCATAAATGGTTTTATCTCGGTTTGCTGACTAAGGCACAATTGGCTAGATTCACATAACGTCCTAAGACGAAGGAAAACAACACATCACATTTGAACAGTATGAGTGAATCCAACCAAAATTACTCACATTTATCCCCTGCCATCTCAGATACCCAGCATATATGCTTGGATACACAGGTGGGCATTACCTTATCAGGACCTCTGAATTCAATTAACATGCAGGCTTTAAAGTCCTCCAGAAGTCTTCATCAGGCTGGGTAATACGAAGTGCCTCAGATGAAGGAAAAGAAAGAACCCAAATCAGACCAAGTCTTCTGATGTTGCAGTTTGCAACTTCAGCTGACTCTCATTTGGGTTTAATGAAAGAAAATTTTGTTTTTACAATGTCCTCCAACCAGAGGTGTCCACATGGTATGGTAAAAATAGTCAAGATGTTGCCTGTACTAGTGCAATCAAAGCTCCACCTGTTTTATGTGTGATGTAACACATGTAAAAAACAGTCATAGCTTTGATCACACTGTCACAGCCACCATCTTTTTTTTTTTTTTTTTACCATACTCTGCGGTCATCTCTGTCTCCAATGGAGAAGAGAAATTCAGAGAAATTTTCATGAATCAGGGGTTCAGTAGTGTTCTTGCACTTATTTAATTAATCTGTGGCCAAGATATGTAAGTATGAATATCCTGTCTTTTGGTGATCAGCCATCTTTCCAGTGGCTTTCTGTGTGTCAGTTATATTCCTAGGAAAGACATCATGAAAGAGCTTCTCCTGTTGGTACCACTTCTCCCACTGAGTCCTGTGCTCCACAATTTCTTAGAGAATCTCTCCTTCCCCTGGAGAAATTCAGAGACATTGTCCACTTAGTTGCCCACTAATTTCAAAACATCATTTGTGCTCAGTTCTAGTCACCAGCAACAATAGATCATGCAAGTAAAGAGATGTCAGGGCAGATCCTGCTGTACACAGAGATGCTGACTTTACTCCTTATTTAGTTATATTATTACAGGACTATTACCTTATAAAGCCAGTCACAATTTCAAGAGTTTATTCACAAACCCGTATAAGCCACAAGAAAGAGGCTTATGTCTTTGAATAAGTGGACATCAAGTCTGACATCAGATGGGGCAGTATCCAGAAACCAGTAACCATCCATGTGAATCTTGCAGGTGATTCCATTGTTGACTTTTAAGATGGGTATTCTCAAACAAGGGAGAATCCAGCAACAAACAAACTGATTAACATTTCTCAAGAAGTTCTATCATTTATGCTTTGAATTGAGTAACAGATTTTTATTCCTAAAAATGTGAATTTATTTAACAATGATAAGCTACCACTATCGTGGTGGATGAAACTAAAAGCTTATATAGAGCAATATTAAGTGTCACACAGAAAGCAAAGGGTGGTACTCCATTTTTGCTATCAGTACTCATTGATAGCCTGATCCTATTCTCCATGAATTTGGCTAGGTCCTTTTTGGAACTCCCTTTGATGATCCCTGTAGCAATTGTATGCAAATGAAGTTTTAACTGATCACAATTGTCTCTGTTTCCTTTATTTTATTCTTGTGATGTCCTCGTTCTTCTCCTGCTCTTTCTCCTTCCTACCCTTCTTCCTTCTACTGCTTACATGCATATGCATTTCTGGCACCTTAACAGGGGCTGCATGTTTCTGAGAAAGTAGAGCTTGAACAAAAAATGAAGGACATTAGCCAGAGTGGCCAGTAGGTAATCTTCCAGATGTTGTTGGATAGGAGTTCAATACCTGGAAAGCTGTACATTGGCAGCTTTGGATTAGATGATGATGATGATGATGATGATGATGATGATGATGATGATGATGTCTTCAGATTGCTAGTAGTCTCTTAGTCATTTACAGCTACAGACCCTATTTAGTTGTCAAGTTGTTTCCTCCCACTGTCCCATTCTGTGACCATCCCATTCATTTCAGTTCCTGATAAGTACCATGTTGAGGGGTAAGATCTGAAGTTAATGCTTTTTGTCTTTACATGAACGAAAGTCTCAGAGCAATGGGAAATCTTCTTAAAGTAGGATTCCCCATTGTACGGGAAGCTCAAGTGACCTCCACTTCAGATCTTGTCACTCAGTAGAGCAAGGGGAGAAAACATTGGGACATCCCTCTTGCACATGAGAACTTTCCAGGTTTAGACTGAACAAGAGGCAGGATTCTAGTCAAGGTTACTGGCCACTCTGGAAGCACCGGTCCTGGCTGTATTCAGCATTAGAAGCACATTTCCCACCTTCCTGTTACAGCTTAGTGCAAAATGAAGGAACGTGACCCAAGTCTGTTCCCATGCAGACTAGCTTATCCTGCAATATTGATGAGACAAAACTAATGAAAAAGCAGTAAAAAGAGAAAAACTGAGTAAATAGATACTTAAAAGAAAACTTGGAGACCATGTACGGGGCATATATAAACAGCTGAATTTGCTTACTGAAGGCAGAATAACTTGGCCACGGCCAGCAACTACAAAAAAGATTGAATTTATTTCGAAGGTTAAGTGTCCTGCCCTGAGCTGTCATCACCAACTTGTTGGGGCTCACCATATTTTACTCTGAGAATCTCCCATCAGCTGCAGTGTTAACTGATACATACTCATGATGGTTGCAGGGCTATTTTAGGGTGAAATTAACAAATCAACTTCCTAGAGCAGAAAGAACAGAGTCACAGACCCTCTCAAAATGACGGGGGGGGGGGGGGCGGGGGGGGATTAGCACAACTGAAACAAAACAAAACACATCTTCATCTGAATTACAGTTAACCTTTTTAAAAAGTGGGAATAAAAAGAGCTACTTTGTGTAAAACTCATGCTGAAAATTAAAAAAAAAAGAAAAAAATCTGCATGCATTCTTAGTTCAACAAAAGACTTGGAGAAAAGACAATTATGAGGTTATATGATAACCATCTTGGAATATTTGATAGGCTGTTAAGAGAGGATGGAAGACATTTCTGCAGTTCCAGAAAGTAGAATCCAAAGCAATAGACTCAAATATAAGAAAAAGTGATTAGACTAAACATTAGAAAAAACATCTTGGTGGTATCAGCTGTTTGAAAGGGAACGGACTGTCTAGAAAGTGGTGGAACACCATTTTGTGTTTAATGGAAAGGTTGGCTACCCCATTGAAGGTCTATTAATTATGAGTTTCTTGCATTAGCAGGAGGCTGGATTCGATGACCTTTGAGTTCTCTTCCAAATCTCTTATGCTAAATCTATTTATTTATGACATTTTTAGATTGCCTAGCAACAGCAGTACTCTGGACAATGTACAAATAGAAGCAAACATATAAAACCACAATATAATTATAATGAGTGCATGAAATAAAACTGGCAGGCCAGAGTGAAAATAATGTAGTATATAATAAAACAAAGTAAAAGTGTTACCAAACCAAACAATAAAGCAATGTAAAATCTTAAAACCATCCTAACAGTTCTTAAAATGCCTGGGGCCATGTGTGCATATATCTATAAAGTCGTATTCACCTAGCACTGAGAAGGTAATAAAGTAGGCAGATGCTCAGAGATGGTCTATTAATATGGAGATAGATAAGCTTTCAGGCAACTTATCCCCAGTTGTTTAGGGTTCTAAGTTAGTACATTAATAGACTTTGGGAAGAGAAATCAATAATTTGTATTTATATATTTCAGCATCCTGTTACCTTATTTCTTACCCAAAGTCATAATGTTTACTACAACATGGGAAACTACCACTTTGGATTCAAAATTGTCAGTTTGAGAAAGGTGTTCACTCTCAGCCTTTAATCTGACCCTCAGCTGAGATAATGGAAAGATAGATCAATATGAATCCAGACGGGGAAGGTTTAATTTGTTGTTCAAAATCTGGTTTGCTTTTTCACATCCATTGCAGTATATATGGGTGTTCGTTTCATTGATTTTTGTTGTACTTTTCTATTCTTTGTATATATACTTGTTTTGTAACTTGTAATTCTTTTTCATCTTTTTCTTTTGTAAATTATAGTAACAAAAACCATTTTTATAAGACTAAGAAATGGACTGGCAGCCAAAACAGATGGCAAAGATTTTCTAATTTTTTTTCTTCTCAGAATACATTAAATCGTTTTAGGATTTATTTCCCACATACTTATATTGAGCAAGGTGGCAGACATGACTCATCAT